CAAAAGCATAGAGGCCATGATGAGTGAATATTGATATATATTTTTTTACTGGCTTTATATACCTTAGACCAGATTTTTCTAGTTTGTTCAGTTAGCACATATACTATAGGGATTCTGCTAGAGGAATATTCTAATCAATATGTGAATTTATTATTTTCTATGTGTTTGTATGTAAATTGCTCATAAAATAACCTTTGGTAAAAATGAAAAGGTAGAATATTTAAGCTATACATATGGGTGCTCATTTTAAACGCTTGATATATATACAGTTAGTTTTATAGTAAAGTCTAATGAGGGACAGTATTTGTTACTGTAAGAGATATGCATTTAATGTTTAGAAACTCACACAACTTAATCTTTATTATATGATTTTTATTGAGATTTTTTTTACTTTTATACTATACAATAGCATGTACATTATAGTTTTCTTTCTACAAGATTATGAATTCCACCCAAACACCAATGTTAATAGGATGTTATATTTATTTTTAATGGAACCTGAGAATTATTTATGTAATGTTCATACAAGTGTATCATAGTATATGGATATAATGTGTATTTCTGTATTTAAAGACTTACAGTTATGGTGGATGAGACTTGCATTTAAATTTATAAATGATAATACATGATCAGTCTACAGGTTAAAGATGTTTATACCCAGTGTTAGCTGGCTAATAATAGTATCTATAACAGAGTAATCAGTTTATATATTATAGTTTTCTTTCTACTAGATTTTGAATTCCATCCATTAGTACCAATGTTAATGTTAGGATTTCATATTTATTTAATAGAAACTGGGAATTATTAATGTTATGTGCATACATGTATATCTTAGTATATTGATATGATGAGATTTATAATATTTCTGAATTTAAAAAGTTACAGTTATGTCATTATTATTAAAGGGATGAGACTTTCATTTAAAGTTATAAATGATAATACATGTATTGATTGAAAATGTCGTGAATCTTGGATCCAGCAATATAATTGATAAAGTCTCAAAACAAATCATATTCTGAATAGTTACATTCTATTTGTTTTTCTAACATGTGCATAGTTTGAAATGGACAGCTTCTGCCTTATCTATTTGTAATGGAGGGACACCGGTCTCAATCTCCAGGTCTCCTGAGTCAACCCGACAACATACTTTTCATAGAGTAGATTGTTACTTGCCCTTGAATAAATTTGTACACTAAATTTTATAGTGGGTGATTTAATGTGCCACATGAAAACCAACAAAGTACAAAAAGTAACCAGGCGCCAGATGAAAAGATGAAATTACAATCTACCACGAAGCAGCTCGTTGGTTGCATAATTTTCATGTTTTCGGCCGGTGCCCTTGATGCAAAATACAAATCAGTCTTCATAAAATTTCTTATCATAGAAAAAAGGTTAGTTTTTTATCTGTACAAAAAATAGATATTGTACATGAATTAGCACAGTTATGTTCACTTTCAAATTGACCTGTTATAAATAATGGTACAACCAGCAACTCTCTAAGCCCTTTTTAGTAAAAATAATTATACAATGGTATATAAATTGTTATCTTAATTAAGACTATATGAGTATGTAAGTTTTTTTTTCTTATTTATTAATTAAGAATTATTTATCTGTTAATTTAAAAATCTAAATATCTGTCATGGTTTAGAACTGTTCACTATTTAGGGGAGAAAATATGTAAGTGGCCAGATAGCTCAATCGCTACAGCCGCGGTACATTATTCTGTGGGTCACAGGTTTGAGTTATGGTGAAGCTGAAAGTTTTTCTCATCCTGTGACTGCATATAACCATGAGTTTAATTCACTATGCTCTGTAAACATCAGAAATTCAAGGACATTAATCTATATAGTGGAGAAATATGTTGTGGTTTAGAATTGTTTCATTATATAAGAGAAAATGTGTAGCCGGCCGGATAGCTCAGTTGGTCTTCTGAAAGTCATGTGTTCGAGTCATGGTCAGGCAGTTTCAGTCAGGGTTTAGAAGTGGTTTTGCGACTGGCACATGTTTTATTCATTTAATAAAGTGCATTTAATTTGAATGGACAAAGGCAGTATTGCATGATACTGTTAGATCTACAAAAGCATTTGATACAGTTGATCACACTATACTGCACATGAAGAAGTTCTTTTTCTTCTTCTTCATGGAACTTCAATCATCTGCCATATGAAATGACATTCTTACATGGTTCAAGTTTTATCTCTGATAGCAGCTGGTTGATGTGGCTGGTACTCCTTCTTCTTCTGCTCTGAGTACCTATGGTGTCCCCCTAATGTTCATTTTAGGTCCTCTTTTATGTCTAATATATGTCAATGATATGTCTGCAACCCTAAGCAATAAGCTTTATTATATGCACAGGTACAAGTATCAGACCTGGGAAGAAAAAATATGATTAGATTTTCTAGCCTCCAGGTCACATGAAATGGTACAGCTATAAAGTACACATTTTTTGTTAAGTATTAAGGTCAAATTCTTTTGGCGTCGCCCTTTGATGCTTTGCATCAATGCTTTTCTTGTTGTCTTTTTTGAATAATTTCATTTTCTTGCGCAATAAAACATTTTTTCCCTCAAATGAGACTTTGTTTTCCATATGCGTTTAACAGTAAGCATTTACCATACCAGGTTGTACAATAACTTAATTTGGTCCGTAAATCAGTCTTTTACACAAAGTCTTCTCAACTTCATTCAGAATTCATGTCTCATTATTGTGAGCAAAATTCTGAGTTTCCTTTGGCTATAAGCTGGAAAATGTTTAATTATCCCCCGCCGAAAAGGCGGTTGGGGATATAAAATAAGTCTCCGTCCGTCCGCCTGTCCTTCCTTCAGTCTGTCCTTCCGTCCTCATTTTAGTCCGGACCATATCTTAAAAAGTATTTGAGGTATCAACTTGAAACTTCATAGGTGGTTAAATCATATTTAGGAAAAGTGCAGTTCACAACAATGATGATTGTACCCTACATAATTTTTCAGTTATTGTCCTTTGTTATTTTTCAAACTTAATTTTTGTCCAGAGCATAACTCAAAAAGCCTTTAAGATGGATAGATCTCACTCAGGAGGTGTGCAGTGCAAAAAAGTGATAACTCTACCCCTTCATAGTTTTTGAGTAATTGCCCTTTGTAATTTTGCATACTTTATTTTTCACCTGAGTGGAGCATAACTAAAAAAAATCTTTGAGATGTCAACATGAACTTCATTGGTGGATTGATCTTATTGAGAAGGAATGTTGTGCGAAAGAATGATAACTGTACCCATTATAATTTTTTAGTTATTGACATTTGTTATTTTTCATACTTTTGTCCGGAGCATATCTCAAAAAGTGTTAGAGGTAGATCTTACTCAGGAGGTGATAACTCTACCCTTCATATTTTTTGAGTTATTGCCCTTTGTTAGTTTTCATACTAAATTTTTCACCTGAGTGGAACATATCTCAAAAAGTGTTAAAGGTAACACCTCGAAACTTCATAGGTGGATAGACCTCATTGAGGAGGAGTGCTGCACACAAGAGTGATAACCGAGCGTGCATTATTTTTCAGTTATTGCCCTTTGTTATTTTTCATACTAAATTTTTGTCCAGAGTATAACTACAAAAGCCCTTGAGATATCAACATGAAACTTCATATATAGATAGATCTCACTCAGGAGGTGTTCAGTGCATAAGGGTGATAACTCTACCCTTCATAATTTTAGAATTATTGCCCTTTTCTATTTTTCATACTAAATTTTTCACCTGAGTGGAGCATATCTCTTAAAAAGCTTTTGAAATGTCAATATGAAACTTCATAGGTGGATATATCTTATTAAGGAGGAATGTTGTGCACAAGAATGTTAACTCTACCCATTATATTTTTTGAGTTATAGCCCTCTGTTATTTTTCATACTTTTTGTCCGGAGCTTATTTCAAAAAATGTTAGAGGTTACAAATTCATAACTACAAAAGCCATTGAAATATCAACATGAAACTTCATAGGTAGATAGATCTCACTCAGGAGGTGTGCAGTGCAAAAGAGTGATGACTCTATCCTTCATAGTTTTTGAGTAATTGCCCTTTGTACTTTTTCATACTTATTTCACCTGAGTGGAGCATCGCATCGCTTTGAGATGTCAACATGAAACTTCATAGGTGGATTGATCTTATTGAGGAGGAATGTTGTGCGCAAGAATGATACCCTTTATAATTTTTGAGTTATTGCCCTTTGTTATTTTTCAAACTTTTTGTCCGGAGCTTATCTCAAACAGTGTTAGAGGTATTAACGTGAAACTTCATAGGTGGATAAATCTCATTGAGGAGGAGTGCGGCACACACCTACCGTGCATTATTTTTCAGGTATTGCCCTTTGTTACTTTCATACTTAATTTCGTCCAGAGCATAACTACAAAAGCCTTTGAGATATCAACATGAAACTTCATATGTGGATAGATCTCACTCAAGAGGTATGCAGTACACAAGAATGATAAATTATTCTGCTCTACTACATATGCATGGCTCTTGTAACAAGTTACATTACAATACTTAAAAACCTTCTTAACAAGTTAACCTGACAATTAAACTCAATGCTATTTGGAGATACCTTAACATTATACTTAACTGTTTGTTTTGTATTTTTTCTTTTTTTCGCCGTGACAATCACATTGCTGCATTTCCCAGCAATTTTTTACTTGTTTGAAGTGTCGTAAGCAATGATTATATTAAACACACGTATTGTAACAAGTATCTGTAAAGGCATAACACAGACATCAACATTTGATATATCAATTTCGTGTCATCTTTCATAATGCAGCGCGTACACAAATTTGGAATAAGTACGGCTTTATATATAGATCTAATCATCTTTTAATGTATAATAATAATATATTGATAATAAGTATGAGTTTATTTGATTCTCTAGTTCTCTAATGTTTTAAAATTAACATTTATGTTGGATGATAGATTTTGGTAAATATTCCAGTAAAGCCACAAGTGACATCTTTAATAACACGGAAGAATGGTTTTATAGTGGAAGGAATGTCACCAACAAACATGGCCACAACTGACGTAGGAGATGAGTTGGAACTGACATGTACTGCTAATATAGGAAGCTTTTCAGCAACCATTATTCGCTGGCATAGAACTTCTGAAACTTCACCTAGCGATGAATTTATTGACTATCAACAGCCACAAGGTACTTTTGATGATGGCACAGCAACCAGTGACAAACATTGTGGATAAACTAGAGTTGCTTCATTCAGATACAACGTGACAACAGTCGATGCTTACAGGAATAACAATTTGGCATTCGAATGTTTCGTTAGAGTTAGTGGAGATCCATATGGAAACTCTTACACATCTGAAAACAATCCGAGATTCTACACTTATGTCAGTAAGTGATCTATATTAGATCTAAATAGTATAGCTATTTATGTGTATAAGTTTAAATGGAGTTGAATATCAAATTGAAATATAGGTGTCATTATCTGATTCGTTTCTACGTTGTACTCAAATAACAAATTTAAAAAGGAAAGGGTCATTATTTTTACTACATATATTATTCTTTATTCTTTTCAGTTGATATAATTTAGATATTAAAGACAGTTTAATATTGGTATCCATGATTTAGTTGAACAGTCCCAATAATGTCAAAAACCTTGTGGGACGTAGAAACATTTCCCAAAAATAAATGGATTGTTTCTTACACGAATTTAAGATTTTTGGATGTAAAACTCTTTATTGATTCAGGGCGCTATTTAGGACCGACCGACGGACAATATTTTCCTTAACAAATTTCTTTTAAAAAATAAATCGATTAACATAGACATTGATTGGAAGTACTTTTGTCAACTAACAAATGATATTTCAATGAAAAAGAATACCTAAAAAAAAGAATACCTCTAGAAAACATTTTTTTTTCAATATTAACATAGTTTTAATGATGCAGGATCATAATGCCGCTCTTGTTAAAATCTTTGATGATTACTCGGAAAGCAGTACACACAAACCTATTTGTTGAAACATTTTAGACCTTTTTTCTGCATGTTAATTGTTTTTACGCTTCGTTTGTTTTCATTACAGCTAAGCAAGACAATGAAAACACAAGTTCTAAAATTGGTAAAATTTTAGTTCATATATTATGTTTCTGTGTGTTTGAATGTGTACAAACGTCGGGTTGACAGTTGAGGATGTATTGGTATCAACCGATGTTAAATACAAAGTTATGGGTTTCTTTTGTTTTAGAAATATAAAATAAGATGTTGTGAAACACAAATAATACTAGACTTACAGGAAATTAGATGTAGTACTGATTTTGAATTACTATTTCTTTACACTATTTAACTTTATGTTATGTTAATGAATTATTCTATGAATATTTATCGGGATTTTCAAGCTATTGTCACCAATAACGTCTTTAAGTAATGACTTCAAATATTTAATACAACTTGTTAAGCAAGTATTAGCAACCTTTAACAGCGTTTGATTCTAGAAGCAATGATATCAACAAAACATTTGGCTCAAACGTCTGGCTTTGAAAGGTGAAATAAGGTTGCATAGAAAAAATGTTTACGTTCATCTTTAAGATGAGAATCCTTTCATTGCAGGTACTGGCGTTTCAACGGCTGCTTTAGTGGGGGCTGTTGTTTCCGCACTAGTTGTTGGGATTCTTTTAGGAGTGGTTTTAACAAAGTTTTATCAACGTTTTAAAAGAACAGGTAGTCCGTTAGATTTATTGTGCTATATGACTGACATTTCCCTTGTTTTAAACAGCGAAAAAACTTTGTTGATATTTTGTAGTAAATAATTGATTTTGTTTGAGCAAGGATTCATATTTTCGAAACTAAGTGAAATATGTATAAATCGTATTAATCTATGACGAATGTCTCATTCGCCAAAATGAAAATTTCAAATTGCTCTTCAAAAGTCGCTTGTCTTCAAAACTTTATACTGTGAATACAACTACATTCATCAGGTGTATAAAAGTTTATTTTTTATGTATGTAAATAAAATATAGGAGACAGGACGAATTATCAGCCTCAACAAATTGAGTTTCAAGAAACAGAGATAAGTGATGTGGCCCTGCCAGCGTAAGTTATTCTTTATAATTAAGAAATTCAAGACTTTTCTTAACCCCTGTACATTTTGTATTTGACAAAGTTAAAGTTAGCTTTTATATTGACAGTGGCAGTATATTAATTGTAAACATATTCAAACGTCTATTTTGGTTTCGTATGAATGTACAAGGTAAACGATGAAACATTTTATAAACATAAATGCATAAAAAATAATGATTCGTTCGTTTCTGAGTAAATTTTAAAAAATATATCTCAAAGTAGGAACTAATGTGACAGCTCCAAAATAAATTATGTCTACAATTATTTAATAATTACGATATTCATTCAAAGTTACATTTAAGCGCTGTCAATTAAAAGCAATCTATATTTAGTGCGTATAATGCCAGGAACTATCAATTTTATATATTCAATTTGATATACTGACTATAATTTTTATTAAATGCTTATAGGAATACGTATGAACAGCTTCAAAACAGAACGAATACGGAGGGAAGAATGACCTACGACTCGCTAAATGGTATTGCATTTCTTTTTACACTGAATATATCAGACAAGGCATATATCAAGGCAACTATTTTATCGCATAAAAACTACAACTGTCATGTTTTAAAAAATCCATGACTATTACAATAGACAACTTGACAGTGTAAATAGGTTTACTTTGAAAGAAGCCCAATTGAAACATGTTCCGTAAATATTTACATTAAAACAACTTTTATCTGAACTATATCTTGTGAACAGAAGCAATTTTGATATAAATATTAAGAATATGCATGTCTGTATAATTATTAAAAATATAGCAATGTTGATTGTATTTCTACGGAAGGCCCTCGTACATACTTGCAAAGCATTTGAACAGAAACAATGGATTGATTGACCATAATGTAAGACAAATAAAGTAATTTATTTCTCTATTTACATGCTAATATAAAATTGATAAAAGTATGCTGAGACTGCACTGAGATCAGAAGTAATTTTCGTCACATTTTTGTTAATTGACACATTTGATATAAACAGTTTTATGCCGCAAACATATTGTGTAATATTGATATATTTGATATATTGTTTCAGTGAGTTCCAGTGAATCACCAATAAGGTAATTAGAATTTAGAGGAACAAAGTGTTTAAAAAGTCTTTCAAACATGATAATGTACTCGAAAGGTAAAAGCCAAAATAAAAATTTAGGACTGCACCATACTGCTTATAAAATGTGAATGCGTCATTTAAGATTAAAGGTTTAAATACACACAAATTGATTATCTAGATTCATTTTATTCAGAAAAAAAGATGTCCTATGAGTAAAAGAATGGTGCAACAAGGCTACTAAAACTTTCACCGGCATCTTAAGGTATAACGTATTATTAAGTGCACTTTAATGTAATTTAATTCAATATAATTACATTATGTAAATCAATGAATTCACTTATATGTCTGTCTTTCAGCCCAATAGAATATGAAGATATGGATCATGGATCAAAAATACCCCACACTTATGCCGATGTAAACTGATAATATGGATACATTTTGAGATGACTCCTGCTGACTTAAAGCATAATGAAAGTTAACATCATGAACACATTATTTAATGATATTATCTAGATGTATCACTTTGAGATTTATAAATTCAACAACTATAGAACTATGAGTTATGTCATTCTTATGCCTATTCTATATGGTCATTGATTTCTGCCATTTTGTGCCTTCGCCTTCGACTTTTTAGATGCAAAAACACGAAGACTCGATAAATTGGCCAATTATCGTGTCTTCGACTTTCGCATTTTGAGGCGAAGACACGAAACACGACAAATATAGGGCGCCGATACAAAGATTTCTATCCGCCTACACGATTTTTATTTCGCTTAAAATATATCTTGTTTTTGTGTCGGCGCACTCAAAAGTCGATGGCTAAGACATAATTAGTTAACATATTTTCCTGTTTTCGTGTCTTCGCCTTCGAGTTTTGAGGGACGACGACACGAAGACACGAAATAGAAGAAATCAGCCTCCATAATTTTTAGGACATTAGTAATCTCGAATGCAAATGGTTATATGGTTTTTGGCTCATTCTAATTTTTTGAAGATATAACAGAATTATGATATTGTTTTATATTTGACTTTTCAAATAGGTTCCTGCATGTTTTGTCAAACAATCTTATAGCACTTTAGTTGCTATTGTGCAACAAATATAAAAAATAAAAAAAATCTGAAAAACTTTACATGTTCTTAGCCTATTCTACTCATATTTTACATTAAAGGAGGGTCTGAATTTGTTGCACTTTCATAAACATACTCAATAAATTTAATTCTTTCATCTTTTTATTTATGCTCACAACAGCAGGTGTTGGTAAAGGTGCTGACCCTCTTTGACGGTAATTCCAATAATTATACTGAGTATGCCTTTATCTCTACCTTCATGGTAAAAGTTTATATAAGCAACGTATGACTATGAATATGGTAATCTGCTTTACATAGGGAAATTGCAATTATAAGGAACTGTTAGTTATCCAGATCAATGACAGGAAATAATTTTGGGTGAATATATCTATCAAAACATATAAATACCAATGTCCCATCATGGAAAACATTCTATTACATTCACAGAACAGTTGAAGGCAAAGAACGGATCACAACTTGTAAATCTGGTTACTTTGAAATCTCTCATATGCTTTTCAAAAAGTTGTAACGCAAATAGATTCCTCTGACATTGGCCAGAAATAATGAACACATATTTTTTTTTGTTCGTATTAAACGACATAAGTAGCATTTATTCCGTTTAATTGATTTTCAGTCATATGAATTTGACAACGACAACGCAATCATATTTTTGCGTGTAAAACTTTTTACTGCCTTGATCGTAAAAGTTTATCGACCGTGGAAGTTTGTAAACTTACCTGTAATCGGTATAGAGTTCTGTAACAGACAAGGTTCATATATGAGTTTTATGAAAGAAATAAAGTATTGGAATTTCATTTGTAATTACAAGGCGTGTTTCTTAGTCCTACTTCTTCAACTTTTATATATGGTTATGCATTTCAGCATCAAAATGTTTGTTTCTATTAACTTAATGATTTGATGAGTCATATATTAATATAGAACTGTGTGGTGGTTAAACAGCTGGCACAAAAAATTGTATACTATGCAGTCAAATTTAGATCGAAAACTTCAGATATGTAATCATGTAATTTGTTTATTGTCATTATTTTTAAAATGTTTTTAAGACGTTCAGTCCCTACCGTTATAAATAACTGTATGTTGTCCCCTTTCTTTTTAAAGAAATGTTCAGATAACAGTGACTCTTGTTGTGTATATTTGATGGATATTTGTTTGTTTGTTTGACTGGGCTTTACGTCACACCGACACGGTAGAGGTCATATGGCGACGTTACAGCTATATTGGTGGAGGAAGACCTCGGTTATCCGTCCGTGCATTATTTCAGGCACGAGTGGGCACCTGAGAAGACCACCCACTAACGTTCCGTAAGCTAGCTGGTTAGCTTCCTCACATGAAAGAGTCCAAAATCCCTGTCGGGATACTACCCACAGCTGTGAGTGGCAAGTGTTTTGAAGTCAACGAATTATGGATATAAATACCTACGTGCATTAACAATGATATTTAAAAGGTACCTGTGGAGATGTTTTATTAATTATACCATCAATATAATTTTACTTGAATACAAAGCGAGAGTTGAATATGTGCGTTGGAGTATATTCTCTTTTGTTTATTGGTCAACCTTAGGTATCATTCTTTGTATGATTATTGTGTTTCTTTTAAATTTCTTTATTTAACCAAAAACTTTATTATATGGGAGCAATGTTTAATCATTTCGTCGTCTGAAGTAAAGTCTTTTTTAAATAATTAATATTGTTATTTGGTTTCTTTGATAAATCAATTCAAAATTGTTGTATTATTGAATAATGATATTGTATATATATTTGAGAGGTAAGCTTAACCCCATACCGCGTGATTAAAAAAATAATATCGGGGCCATGCTGTTAATCGTTTATTTCATATGACTTACGTAAGTTTGTTTTTTCTTATTTTCCTGTACGAATGTTTATAATCATTGATTTTAGATGCAAATATTTAAACAAACACCTCAATTGTTAGAACTATTCATTTGCCATAAAAAGTAAGTATGATGACATATCTAAACAAAATAATATACTTATCATACATTGCAAAAGTTGCATTCTTTTCATATGACATAAAAGCGCCTGCTGTGGAATTTTCTGTAAAAGTATAAAATGTAAAACGTGTTTCCATTGCATTTATATAGTATAGTTTATGCTACAATGAACTTTGAAATTTATGTGAATTCAATTTTAAGTGCCTATGATTTTACTAATGTGTTCATTGATAAACAGTAAAATAAGTTTCCGAATGAAAAAAAAGTTAAGACAGCTAAGATTAATACGTGATATAGAACTATTATCAAGATTGATTTGCTTTTCATATTTCATATTTTTTTATCGTTTTATTGTATTCTTGTTTCAGTAGCACGAATCTGATGAGCTTTATTCTTATAACAGTTTTAGGATATTCAGCAACAACTTTTATTTGCACTATATTTTATTTTGATAGTCTATTTAAACGCAAGGTATAAGTAATTAAGTGCGTAATCATATAAGATACACACTTTTGTTTTATTTTACTGCGACGTCGAGTTTATTGTTACTGCACGTCAATTGTTTTCTATCAGGTTCGTGCCTTGGCATAATATATTGAGTGAAATAAAAAAAACCTGATGTTCGTTAGTAGAAGATCGGGGGGAAAACAACAAAATGACCTTTCGTTATTGTCTGGGTGAGATCTGTCGAACGTCAGAGCAAGTCCAGAAGTGCAGCAATTCGTGAAGCACAACAAGTCCAAAACGCAGCAAAAACTGAAGCGCAACAAGTTCAAAGTGCAAGAAAAGCATTAGGCCCTCTGTCAAGCAAGGCCCTTTCGGTAATAAGACAAAGTCACCTTAAGTAGTGGACCCACTTAGACTTAAGTCTGACAACTTCTTCCCAAATTAAGTTTACAAAAAAATATTCTGCTATTTTAGTAAGGTTTTTTCCGTTTATCAATGATTTATATAAACTTTTAAAAATCTCAGTTTATTTCATTCTAAGTTTTCATTGTAAGCTATATAAAGCAACGATGACACAATTTTAACTAAATGTATAATACTGTGTGAGCATGAGACCATGACGAAACCTTTGAGAATCAACGGGTTGTAAAAAGTTACCCACATGATTTATATTATTTTATAAAACGGGAAGTAAATATGTACAATGGAGCTTTTGAGATATTTCAGAATTTATGTTACATTTTTACCAGTTTTAGGTATGTTTTTTTAACTTATTTTTCATATATGTTAAACATTTCCTTGTTAATCGATCAAAGTAATTATATACATATTATATGTTATTTTGGTTTTGGAGTGATATATGTGGATATATTACCTGCTAAGATTTTATATCACCTGAGCCGTTAGGCGAGGGTGATATTTTATCTTGGCAGGTAATATATCCACATATATCACTCCAAAACCAAAATAATAATTTTATTACCCTTCCCCTGCCGAGTTTTAACGATTTTTAAAAAAATCATTGCTGTTTCAAATGAAACGTCGAAATAAGATTCCCTTTAGGGTACCTCTTCATCACAACATGACGTCACATAAATACATGACGTATTTTTCCCGTACCTAACGAATGTAAACAAGAGAAAAGGAGTAGTCTATTGAAAGCACTTTTTTGTAATTAATATCAAGCTTTCACAAGGTCATATTTGTTTTCAATACTGATGGGAATTTGTATCATTACTCTACTTTGGTAAATATTTATCATTTGACAGTTAAAAAGTGCTTGTAAATCGGAATTTACACCGCGTAAAATCGAACCGTACGCGCATCACCTCAGCGCATGTCGTTTACAACGTTGGGTACCCAACGGGGAAATTTAATGTGTATATTACCCGTCTGGCTCGGTTATATCAATTTCTTTCGGGTGATCAATATCCAATCAAAAAGGCGGAAAAAATCTGGAAGGGTAATAATATTATTGTAGTCTTTCTCTGTAAAGTATGTAAATTAATTCATATATTGAAGTTTCGACTCTGCTTAATTACAACCGAGATGTAAATCTGAATTGGGAGTAACATTTTATATTTGATATGTGAGAGTTTTAAAGCAAAATGTTTGCTGGAAAATTATTGTTTTCATAAAGAAATAATACTTGTAAAATATAAACTATTGCTTAGAGGATAAAACCCTTATCAAAAGCGCAGAAAAATGTAAACTTATTTTGCGAAGTACTTTTATTCCACAATTTTATCTAAATTGTATTAAACATTATCTTTGATTCTGAAAATGTTCAACCGTTTATCAAAAAAAAAAAAAAAAAAAAAAAAAAACACGTTTATCAATAAACGAAAAAAAGCAAAAAAAGCAAAGGCACACAACAGTTGAATTTACAATGATGTCATGGTTCATTTTAACAGATATTAATTTAGGCAAAATGATATAAGTGCAGTGAAAATATGTTACTTTTACAGTAACTGGTGTTGCTTTCACCATTTCCAAGGAAAAGCTATTGATTGGAAGTACAGGAACATTAACTATGAGATGTGATATCACTGAAACAGATGTGAACAGTATTTTCCTCATTCAGATACGAAGACTTAAATCAACCACAGTTTCTGGATCAGAGGCTGGACATTGGGATACATTAGTAAAAATGGAATTAGGTAAAACTGAAACCCCTACTTTAAGTCCAGATATTGCAGCTGTAGCAGGTACTTATGATTATGTTGCTGGAGGATCACGGGATTCTACAACACCTGCTAATACGTATCTTACACTATCAATGAACATGGAGAAGTTAGTGTGTGGTGATGCTAGAGCTTATAGATGTGAATTGTCTTATAAAAGTTCCACAACAGATGCAGTTATATCAGCTAAAAGGAGTTCAACTTTCTCAGCATATGGTAAGTTTTATGTGATTTTACAAAGTCTGGCAATTTTCACATTTCTTTTCACTTAAGGACATGTGAGTTATTATATTTAATAGAATGATGGTCAGATGAAAATGAATTACATCATATATATTTCAACAGAAACATGCTAAAACAATGGACACAGAGATGCTTTGCAACAGCAATTGCCAAAGTTTACAAATATTATTTTTCTCATAGAATGACCAAAGGAGATGTTGTCTCTGCTACTCTGCTAAAAATGCAACTTTCTGTTTTTATTACGTTTAGGTGTGGCATTGTATTTACTTTTTTGTTTCTGGGATGTTTGTGTAATGGCTGTTATAGCGAGCGGCACATGCGTGGAATCATAAGCACACAATGCTAAAACAATAGTTTATTTTGTCAACATTAAAATATCTCTATTATTGTGTTAAAATAAAGATTAATTTTATAATTAACCTTTTAAAAGGTATATAAACATTAATTCTGTTACTCTGAGAACTATGGACAGATCGAGGTACCAATAGCTGTTTATTCTCCCGCATTATGGACAGTTTCTCTCACATAAAAATATGTTTCTATTGTCTTTTATTGGATACAGATCCGTGAATTCTATGCAAGTTTTAGAAATAAAAAAACAAAACATCCTGTCATTGTTAACTTTTTTGGACAATCCTCCTTAATTTGGGGGAAAAACTACATACTATTAGGTAAGAAAATCATGCTTTTTTGAGATACTGTGTATAAATAGTTGAGGCTATTATTCATAAATAAAGTAGGTGATATCACTTAGGTTTTCTAATTTAAAAGTTAAAAAAATTATTAGCAGAAATAATGTCAAATTCAGATGACAATATAATTATAACACTATCTAAAGAAAACGGAATTTTACCCTTTTTAAACTTTATATCACTTTGACTTTTTTCTCGACTAGAATAGAACAGAAAAAGTAAACGCAAGAATATGCATATTTCGGTTGATGAAATTGAAAGGAATTATGGCAAAATGTAAACTTATTTTGATATTCACCTGTTCACTCAGTATACACTTGGATATGCATAATCTCATTTCAACTTATATGGCTGAAAAAGTAAAATATACGGACGGATTTAACCATGTAATTAACTATTTTATTTACATATTAAAGTTTCAATACAGGGAAAATTCGCACTATGAAAATAAATTACCCAGTGGTGTAAAGGTAAAATGCTCGCCTTGGGTACAAACAGTTGTTGGTTCGATTGTAAGGAGAATATTTTATATTATTTTATTTGCAGCACATAAAACAGTACCAGAGTATATTAAGTATGAACAATGTTCTAGTTTTTTTATTGGAATTAATGGCAACGGTTCAATACGCCCCAAAGTATTAACTCATTTTGTAATTTCCTGATTACACCAACGGAGCAAGTATAATGTAGTTGTTGCAAATTAAATCTGCTGTTTTTGATATTTACTATGCTCTTCAATATTGTTGGATTAGTTTTTTTATTGTTTAACAAACTGTGAGTGTTTCTTACACAGTGCAATTTATCTGTTCACCGGCCGATATGCAAAATACGATCGACTTAACGGATAATGTCCGCCAATTAAAAAGCACAAAATAAATCCAGTTCCATCGGCTCTTAATGTAAATTATTTTTGAAGATGTTGGTTTATATATGCCTTATAATTGCATACAATATATTAGGATATAGATTTATACATTTTATGAATATAATGTTTTTCATATAATTGACTAATATTACATCACTTAAACGTACAATTAACATTTTTCTTCACTAATGCATACGTTCATCGGCAAGTTAATATGTGCATCTAACAAGAGTAAGGATTTAAAGTTTGATTAGTATTAATATCTGGTATCATATATAAAGAAATGTTCGCATCCGCAATATCTGCTTTTGACATCATCAAAGGTCTACAACTTGAATCAAATCATAAACAAAACGCTTTATATTTCGCCATACAAAATATCGCATACAGATATAATAATTTAAAGTTTTAAAATGTATAGTATGTGTTAAACTGGTAAACTGCTTCTTTACATTAGTTAAGGTGAATTATTTGATTAAACATAACACAAAAATTGTAAACACGTAAAACATAACATGACGTTTTTAAAATGTTCATATCATATAATAGATATTTTGTCAGATTTGACATTTTTGTATGGGACACAAATAAATATATTTGTCAGTAAAACTTATTCCTCTTCAAGAGAATATAACTTTGTAAGGCTGGCTACGATCGGACTGCAAGATATATTTGTAAACAGATTAGAATCTTACTCATCTAACGGCAAAATATCAAACATGATAATTTTTAATAAATATCTAATCTAAACCAGTTTAGTTGAATATCTTGTAAGAAACGTTTTATTCTAATTCTTATACCATTTACTGACATAAAAGTAGAGGAGAATGAAACTCTTTCTTGCTCCCTTAACATTACTATAAGAAGATGTAAACAGTGTGTTTGTAGACCAATTTTTTCCAGTATTATGCGCCTACAGGTAATAGCTTTACACCCATCAAACATATCCTTGTGTAATAAGAAAAGTTTTTGAAGGACAGAATTTTCAATTCAAAGCATAATTCTTGAACATGATCGCTATGTTTAATTATTGAATGTATAACAATCAAACAATTGTGTCGTTTTTTATGTTAAATATTTCAGTAAAACCCCAAGTGACATCATTAATAACAAAGAAGAATGGATTTATAATGGAAGGAATGTCACCATCAAACATGGTCACTACTGAGGTAGGAGATGAGTTGCAACTGACATGTACTGCTAATATAGGAAGCTTTTCACAAACAATTATTCGATGGCATAGAACATCTGAAACTTCCACAAGCGATGACTTTATTGGCTATCAACCACCAAAAGGTACTGTGGATGAAGGCACAGCAACCAGTGACAATCAGTGTGGATATATCCGAGTTGCTTCAATCAAGTACAACGTTACAGTGACTGATGCTTTAAGGGATAACAATCTGGCATTTGAGTGTTTCGTAAAGGTAAGTGGAGATCCTTATGGAAAATCTTACACATCTGGAAACAATCCAAGACTCTATATTGATGTTAGTAAGTGATCTGTTTTATTTGTTATTGAAGGGATAAACAAGATAATTCAACCTGAATGAGATAAATATGACCCAAAGCGCTAGCCTAGGGTTATATTTATGTCAGCAAAGCAATATTTTTAGCAATTTGTATACGAATTTATAACATTGAAAATTGTTATTAACGATAAAAACTTTGGATCGTTATCAATGAAACAGGGGCAACAGACACAGATAATTAAGTAAATAATGTCAGACATTCAACGGCTAAGCTAAGTGAATAAAAATAGTTCAAGCATGAAGTTATCATTGCGGTGTAACTTTCAACTATTTTGATATGAGAAATGTGCTATAACTACGGAAGCGTCCTGGTGCTAATGAAACATGTTCCATAAAAATGATAAGATAAAAAAGCCTAATTAGGTGTTTATACGTAGGACTTTTAAACTCCTACATAGGACTTTTTAACTCCTACGTAGGACTTATAAAGCCCTACGTAGGAGTTATATTCTTCAATTCTTTTATGTCTTACGTAGGAGTTATAAAGGCCTACGTAGGACTTATTAAGTCCTACGTAGGAGTTAAAAAGTTCTACGTAGGACTTTTAAAGTCCTACGTATGAGCTATAAACTCCTTATTAGGCTTTTTTCATCTCCTACGCAGGAGTTATCATTTTTTATAGAACATGTTAAATATGCACCAGGACGCTTCCGTACATAACAGACAAAACGGAATAACAAATTCAATGCACACACGTAGATAACTGTTAACAATGTAGAAATACATCGTTATTTATGCTTGCTTCGGTTCTTCACTGTATATACGTCATGATATAGAACCCATAATATAAAAAGTGTGTAAGCCAATCAGAATTTGCAATGTAATAATTGTACTTATTATAGTACTTTCCTTGTGTATACAAAAATGTGTAAGATCGGAAAATGCTGAATACTGTACATCAAAAGATGAATGTCTTTCTCTAATTCGTTTCGTATTAAAAAGAAAATTTAAATTTAAACAGCAGCAAAAATGATCCAATGTTGATTAGAAACATTAAGATATCACACGTGTATTCTGTTCATATCAGCCAAAATAGTTATAATATTGAAGAAGGTTTGAAATTGGAAAACGATACGTTTTCCTGTCACTGTTTATGTTTCTGTTTAACAGTCCTAATTATGTCAAATAGATTTTTTCACAATAAATAAATAAATAAATAAATAAATAAATTCAAAACTGAAGTTGAAAAAAATAGGATCCACATTCTTTATTTTTTCAGGCCCCTATTTTGGACTTGCACAAAAACAGCCAAAAACATTATCGAAGCAACTGTTTTTAACACATAAATCGATCACCACCCAATATGATAGACAATATGGTCTTTTTTTATTGATAACTAACACATGAATTTAAAATACACACACATGCAGTAAAGAGTCCTTTTCGTTGAAAGTCTGTGGAACTTGTTTTGCATTCTGTGTTATAAAGTTTCTTTCTTTTCATTCCAGTCAAGCCATGCAACGCCAAAACAATTTCTGATATTGGTGCAGCAGGTAAAAGGTTTAGAGATTGTGTTTGTTCATGTATATATAATGTTTTCGTGCTGTTAAAATGTGTACGAAACGTCTTGAGGGGAGGCATGGGGATCGAGGGTGTATTGTTATCAGCTTATAAGGTTGAGAACCGTTTAAGAAATATTTGACAAATAGAAAATCGAATGTGAATGTAGTACCGATTTTCCAAACAGAAATATATATTTCTATTTAAAATAACTGTAAAGTAAGTCAATGAACTATACCAGTATCTTGAACTCATTGTCATCAATAAATTCGTTAAGTAATTACCTTTAATATTTCAACCTTTTTAGGAAATTTGGTCCGACGTGACTGACATATAAGGATACTGACTTGAAATATCTATGGTTCTCTAGGCCGTGAAATCCAAAGAAAATATGAATATACCCAAAAAGACAGGCTTTTAAAGTTTATATTATGCCGCGAAGGAAATGTGTTTACATTCGTATTTAAGATGGGCATTTTATCATTGTAGGTACTGACGTTTCATTAGCTGTTTTAGTGGGGGCTATTTTTTCTGCATTAGTTGTTGGTTTTCTTTTAGGAATGGCTTTCAGGCACTTCTATCAACGTTTAAAAAGAACTGTAATAGGTATTCACTTCCTGTTTAGTGATATATGAGAGTTATCTTTATTTGTTTAATAATAATGAATTCTGTATTATTTTTCTTAATAAATTATTGCTTTTGCGTATGCATGGATTCAGCTGTTTGGAAATTAAATGAATCACAACAATTTGTCAAACAATGTTTTCTTTTTTCGATGGTCTTTTAGGCTATAAAGGTAAGCATAATAAAGGAGGACTTGTTTAAATCGTCAAAATGACTAGTATAATGCTCTTTAAAAGTCGCTTGTCCCAAGAATTTTTACTGTAAACTGGTAAATACATCTAATTATGATATTGATAAAGTTTATGTTAATAGTTATGTTTGTTAATAAAAATAGGCCACAAGACGCAAGCCCAGCACCAACAAAACCAATTACAAGAAACAGAGATTAATGTCGTGACCCTTCCGACGTAAGTTTTCTCTATAATCATCATTTTTATAACATTATGCTCAGTTAATGTACTTTTTATATTTGACAATAAATTTGGACACATTTTAAATATCAAGATGAAAAAAATAATGAGAAGAATTCAGCGAAATAAAAGCATTGTAAAATAATAAGATGAAGCAAAGTTTAAAGTGAGCCTATAATACTAATATCGAAGATTAAACACCACTCAAGCCGGTGCTAGCGGGCATGAGAGATGCTGGACTTCTATATTATATCACATGAACAGACTCAATCAACCCGAATCTTCAATTTTCATACAGTTTAATTGTTTCACTGCTGCCTAGTAATCTGCTTCTGAGGGATCACCCCTATCAAGATTTTTATGAATTCACAAGGAAAACAATGAAACATGTTCAAATAATGTAAACATAAAGAATAATCATTCTTTTATTTAAGCGTCAAATAAAAAAAAATATTGACAATTAGCTGCAGTTATATGACAGCTGTTGTATAACCTCTTCAAAGCGACCCTCTGTTGATAAATTACACCTTAACAGTCACAATGATGCTAACCTCTTTTGAGCAACACCTATCAACAGAAAACTTAAATCTTTGTATCTCAAAGAGTGTCTCTCAAACGTGGAATTACTATTCAAATCTATATTTCATTGTTATTAATTGACGTTAAAGAATTGAGCAAAAAACTGTATTGAGAAAAAATGTAGAAACTATCGATCTTTTAACTTTTATCCTGACTATAACACTAATTTTAAATAGTGTGATAACTACATCTTTCGGTAATTTTGCTTACAGGAATACGTACGAACAACTTCGAAACAGAACAGATATGGAGAGCAGGATGACCTACGACACTTTGAATGGTATAGCTTACAGCTTTCTTTCTTTACTGAAACAAATCTTAAATTGTTGAATATCGGTTAAAGTTTAAATGCGCATTAACATTATCACAAGCCTTCCTAATATATAACAATTCACTTGAACGATGGATCATGCATTATTGTACATTAAGGTAAGAAGAACATTTATCTATTTTTGCTTTAACTTACATTCAGAAAGAGAATTGATAAAATATGTTGAACTACATTGAACGGATAAGTAATTTTCAAGGCATCACATCTGACGTTATATGACATGTAAACATTCCTTTTTTGCCGTGCTTATATCGTGAAATAATGCTTTGACTGCCTGTTTCATATGGTTATAGTATGAAACGTGTTAAGATGTTACAATCGATTGGCATGATTGCTAATGGTATATTGAATATACTGTTTCAATAACGGAATAAGGAAATTACATATATAACAAAAGACTGGTATCATGTATGTATTAGAATGCTGCTTACAAAATGATTTGCAAACATTCATATTTAAAAGTATTATAAAAATGTACTATAATTTTATGATAAAACTACATTATTTAAATTGATAATTTAACTTATATGTCTTTCAGTCAATCACAATATGAGAATGTGAAAAAGGGATCAGGAATACCTAACACTTATGCAAGTCTATACACATCGAATGAAATGTAATGAAAACCAAGATTGTGAACACAATGCTTCCAGACATAATCTAAGTATGACTACGTGTCATATCATTCTTCTGTTTATGTTACGACTTTGTTAAGCCCCGGTCACATATTCACGGATAATGCCACGGAAGAGCTACGGTCTAATCGTTCACGGATTACTACGGAAATGTGAAATTCCGTAGTCCGCTACGGTTCCAGTACGGACACACAACGGTATAAGTACGGAGTCCGACGGATTTACCACCAAAATCCCCCGGAGAGACACGGATTGTTACGGACCGACACGGTTTGATGCGGAGCGACACGAATTAGGACGGACGCACTACGGATACACTACGGTCTGCTACGGTATAAGCACGGGTTAGTACGAATAAGTACGGTCTGATACGGAGAAGAACGAATTGATACGGAGAAGAACGAATTGCCACGGATCTATACGGACCTAATACATCCGTCCACAATCTCTTGCATAAATGCCCCACAAGAAAAGAACACCTGGAAAACGAATTGCAGAGTTTAATGATTTCGGCGGAGAGGATTCGGCCTGATCGCGTCTGACCCCCGAGACACATCAGGTCCGATAAAAGTGAATTTCTTGAAGGACGCTGGGTCCTCAACAAGTTCGGCCATGAGAGCTTCATACTAAACATGAAGGGGTCTTCGTAAAAGCCCATGCATCTCCAGTCCACCATCTTGCCTGTCCTCTCTTACCTGATTAGATATGGACTAGTAATCATTAAAAAAAGTGTTGATCAAAACTGCTTCTCTTTAAATTTTAAAATGTGCCGTTTTTTTTCACAATAATATTTATTATCGTGAATGTTTATGTTTTAAAAATATGTAAAAAGCTTGTTAATTAATCTTCTTATAACTCAAGGGTCAGTGTCCAAGGCTTATGAGACACTTCGTTTTATGTACATATTTACTCAAATTTCACGATCCAATGTTTGTAAAATGTGTAACATTAAATGTTATTACTCTATTACTTAAGAATTGTAGTACGATATTAATATATTTTACCTCTATGCATGTCATCTAGCAGCTCGACCACTGCCTGCGCATTCTGAGCCATTTCATTATAAAATTGCAGCCAGTAAATGGCAATTATCATTTATTGAATGTTCCCGCAAATATGTCTGTTTTTAACAAGAAGGTAGTACCCTTGGAAAGTACATGATACTTAATTCATCCGTTCTAAACAGTGGTGGACCGTAAAAGTCCGTGTTGCAACGCAATAAACCGTATAAGACCGTGCTAATCCCTGCTTCTCAATCCCTGTAGTACAACGTATTACGATCGTGGCTTTCCGTATTAATCCGTATTAAAACCGTAGCTTAAACGTAGGTTATCCGTACCAAACCGTCGAAATCCTTGACAAGTTGGTGGGCTACGAATCAGTACGGACTAGTACGGTTTTCGTACGGACCAGTAAGTATCGGTACGTTTCAATACGGACTAGCAGGGATACGCTACGGTTGATTTTTCCGTAGCAAATTTTTGTGCATGTTCAAAAATTGTCAAGGATCGCTACGGATATACCAGGACTACTACGATTGATTACGGTTACAATACGGAGAGCTACTGACCAGTACGGGTAGCTACGGACGATGCCGGAATTAATCCGTGGCTCTTCCGTGGGCGTATTCCTTGAATATGTGACCGGGGTATTACAGTGAATGCAATTGTTGTAGTAAATTAGCTTTCCGGTATTTTCTTTAATACTTTGTTATTTTTTTCTTGGAAGATGCAAATGTATGGCAGATCAGTGTGAAGTTGTTTTATGTTTTTACTTTTTGCATATTCTTTTCTACAATCGTATTGGATACAGCGTTGTCACTTAATAGGGTGTTCATAGTTTTAAAGAAATTCTAGATTTGTTTGAAGGTTTATATCATACATTTTTTTCAATAACTGCTTTTGTCTCGATAATGATGATACGCTTGATATAAACAAGCCATGGATTAGGTTATGGTGATGTCGAATTGCGGATTCTAGAACACTCTCCTTCTTCTTGAATATTGCAATGTCAACTGGTATGCATTGGTTCTTATCAAATGAAAAGAACTCCACAATAGAATTGAATGAACCAATACATTATATGTTGTTATTAGTTACAATGTAATTTTAGTAACCCTTCCAAGATCATAAGCTCACTAAGAGCCGAGGAAAAGATCTTCTTTTCATCAAATGTGAACACCTAAATAAGATCTATACTTTGAATCTCTAAATGAAGATCAAAGTTAAACTTTATATCCCTCAATGTTCAAAACCAGTTAAACATTTTCGGTGACACTCTTTTTTCAATTGAGAACAGATTTGCTTAACCTTGATGTATCCTTTGCAATCAAACCTTTCTTTTGGTCTAATCTTTGACATTGTTATCAATTTCGGTATACAATTATTCCAATTGATGCTTGTAAAAAGAATGAAATATATTTTCACGACGATGGACTTTTGAATCAGTTTGTTCTACTCATTTTATATGCTATGAGAATATTTTTTGTTACTTTATAGACTATATCAAATACAAATACACACGAATGCACTGAAATATACATGGATATATTGACAAAATTAAAGCTATGTAAAGACATCGAACGTTGTTTCCTTTTTCATCAACGTAAACGTTTAGGAGATACCGCAAGCCAACAGGCATACCACTAATGCTAAAGGATCTAGCACTTCAACAGCTGTAGCACCGTTCATCATCCCTGAAAAGAAAATCATCAGTATCTAGAAATGAATAAATTATAGAAATGTTTGAATTTTGTACATTTATATAAAACCGCAAGCAAATCATGATAAATGATGTGTATGTATTTCGAATATTAAAACCAAACAGTCTTTGTGGTTAAGCTTTACGCACCGATAAAGTATAGGTGATAAGGCGACCTTTCGGCTTTTCTTGGGGGAAAGCCTCAGGTGCACCTTTGTACATTATTTTAGGCACAAATTGGCAACTGTGCAGAAGCAATGACGTTACATTATATATTTACATTTATGAATCAAGCTATGATTTTGTAAAAAAAGACGCTAGAAATTAAATAAATTATTCATCCTCTAATGCTGCATATAATTTGAAAAAAGTGAAGAAATCTGAAAATAAATAAAACAATAGTTTTCTGAGAATTCGAACTTGCAATAACTACAAGTATAAAAAACATAGCAGATATTGCTTTTCTTAATATTATAGCAGTATAATACATACTTAAATTTACATTTCCTCCATAGACCGAATGCTTTATGTCCAAAATGACTATAAATGTGGTTTGGATGGGCAAATATTAATAATATTTATTTACCCTTTCGCTGCCAGAGGGGGACATTGTTTTATTGATCAACTATTTGCCAGAGGGTTTTCTAAGAAATTACTATATTATTTAATAATATAATTATTATTATTTGTTATTAGTATTATAATAATTATATATGTTTCCAAATATGTTAGTATAATAATAATAATTGTCGATGGTATAATTTTCTTTATATTTATTATTATTTTTATTATTAATATTATTAATTTATTTATTAATATTACAATTATTATTATATAAACGGCTAAAGCCGTCAATATGGCAAATACGCCGAAAATAACAGGGACGGCTTAGGCAGTGAAATGGTTAATAATATTTGATTTTGAAAAATTAGGTCATTTATTAACCAATATTTAAAACAAGAATTTTCAGTTTTGAATACTCTTTATGAACACGTATCATATAAATCATGGGACAGGGGTACAAAAGAAAAACCCATTTAATAAAATGATATAACAGAAGTGTGTTAACACTAAAGTCACATAGCATTAAAGCGTGATTATGTTAGAGTTGCACTATAGGCGCGTCAAGGAAACGCTTGTTAACTGTAAACCGCTACTTTTTAAAGATATGTGATCAACTGATGTATTGTAAATTAAATACTAAATGTATTGAATTCGTTGAGTAAAACAATATTATGCGAGCCCCTATGATTTTTGTATTTCAATTCATTCAATAAATTTTATATTAAATCTACACTCATTCAATTTCCCTTTTTAAATACATAACTTTTTAACAAAACAACTTGATTTTTTAAATTATTCGTTTGTTGTTGTTTTGCATGGGCTATAAGAATGTAAGAAACAAGATAACAAAGATGCATTTTTACCACTACTTTTGAGTATGTGACCCGCATGGATATATTATAGGTACTGAAAAAGAAGATTACTTCTTTGCATTGTTTAGGTCATATGACGACTTTTCAGGTGTACTGGTGAGAGAAAACATCAGGTGGCCCTTTGTGCTTCATGTCAGATAGAAACGGGCTCCTGAGTAGAACAATCGAAGTTCCGTAAGCTAATTGCATAGCTTTCTTACATGAAAGAATCCGGAGACGCTAGCCATCTCTAATCTACAGCGGTAAAGGCAAAAAAGGGTAAAAATAACAGTTTACAAAAGGTTTGCAGTATTATCTGATAGCTCACTCGACATATAGTTTCTACTTGTGTGGGGTTCTGAAAAAAAGTTAATTATTTCTATCGATGCATCCCATTAATATGTTTCAGGCATAATGTGCATGTTTTCAAAAAGATATATTTCAATATTTTATAAATTCATTTGAACTAATAAAACTGGTATTTACCTGTTGTACTCAAAGTTTGATATGTTGATGGCGTTGTCCGGGTAACTAAAAGTATAAACAAAAAATATGACAATGTCACCAAACTAGGTTTTCAATTATCACATTTGTAGAAAATATTGTTGTAGGTGAAACCCCAAAACATGCGACAAACAATGTAACCTTGTGTAATTTTTATCATAAATGATAAAAAGACAAAAGATTTAACCAAGTATTTTGTAATAAGAACAGTTTGACCTTTATCCTGAGGCCCAAAAGCAATCCCAAGTATAGCTTTATAAAACCTTACTATAAACAAGGTTTCACTCAAATATCGCTTTCAAAGCTCAAGTTATTGACCTGAAATAGATTTTCTATTTTAGTAACAGTGACATTGACCTTGACCCTAGTGACCCCAAAAGCAATACTTATCGAGATCTCCAAAAAAGCGTAGTACACACCAGGCTTCATAGAAATGTCTCACTAAACTCTAGTTCTTGACAGGAAGCCTACTTTCTATATTTGAAACAGTGGCATTGATCTAATAGGGCTCAAAGCAACACCAATGGAGGTATTCATAACAGCTTGCTTTACAGCAAGTTTAATTGAAATGTCTCATTCTAAAATCTAGTTAATGACCTGAATCATTTCAGTAATCTTTAGTTACATTGACCTTGAACTTGATCCAAGGGCCCAAAAACCATCTTATCGAGGCCTTAATAAAGCTTGTTATACACCAAGTTTCATCGACATATCTCACTTCAAACTTTAGTTATTGACAGCAAACAGTGATAAATGCGCCAAGGTATTTGATGACAAAGCTTCTGTGAAGGTTAAAATCCCCGGAGATGCGTATGGAAGAAAAATTGTTCACTATATATTCCATACAATGAAAAAGAGAACAGGGCCATAATTAGGTCAAATATGATCAAATCACAAAACGCCAACAATATGCGATAGGGCACATGATGACAAAATTTTAAATTCAATTTTAAAAATTCGTTTCTAACACTTTAAGTGAATTGGTCTATAATGGAAAATATAAGATAAGATACGGTAATATAAGATTTTTATTCCTCCAATATTGAAGAGCATAAAACAATGAATAATTACTCAGATTAGTATTAAATATTACATAAAAAGAGAAAGAATTTTAAATATACGGGAGTTGCTGGCAAGTTTTATATAAATGGTCGGGTATTTACGGTAGCACAGAAGTGACCTTTGTATTTATTTTCATTTATCTCGTGCGCAGAAGATAATATGTCGTGACCACGCGTTACTAAATCGTGCGCACAAGATTATAAAGTGGTGCACACTAGATACTTTGTCGTGACCACGAGTTACTTAATGGTGCGCACGAGATACTATGTCATGGCCACGAGTTATTAAGTCGCATGTGCCTGAGTATCCCTTTAACTAGAAATGTGCCATAGGACAATGATGCCACTACTTTACCTTCCTGTCACAGTGACTTATGTACAAGTTACTGACTTGACCATGATTATACATTTAGCGTCATTGTGACCCTGATATTTGATCAAATGACCTCATAATTATTAAGTGTCACCTACTGATCAGGTGCTATGTCCATAAAAGGTTTCATAAATCATGGCTTATTCCTTTTTAAGTAATTTATCAGACCTTTGACCTTATGATATCAAACATCAATATAGGTCATCTACTGGCCATAGGCATTATCCCTTTCAAAAAATAAACCAGCCACCTTTTAAACCAAGATGACTTGTTTAACATCAAATATATCTGAAATATAAATAAAAGAAACATTCTGATAGAGATTCATGAAGACAAATTTTAAGAAATAAACTTTTCGTGATATACATATGATATATGTTTGACCTTTTGACCTCATTTTTGATACGGAAAATATCTATGTGAAGCATTATTATCATTGGATGAACATTTGAACCTCTGTGGATTGTTGATAGTCATCTGACATATAATGCGAACAATTCAATACGATGCAAGTCAATACACATTCTGCAAATTATTAACAAAGTGTAACATATGTCATTTTATTTTATTATTTTTTTTTATAAATTACGAAGGACTAAATATCTCCTAACTATAAACATTAAACATAAACTGTTGTCAAAAATTTCAATTTACAAGTTCAAACGAATAAGATAGATAAAAAACACACTAAAATGTATAAGTAGATTTACCTGATGTACCAACACTTTCCCCTGTGTTTCCAACAGCTGTACCAGCTGTAATATATAAACGTTTTATAAATACCTATAAACATTATCCCTTCAAACACATGCAAATAATAAAGAGCAAATACTATTCAACTGTAAGAAAATTCAATATTATGTAAGTGACAAATACGGTACAAGTACCCGCATTTTTCATATTGGTTCCAATTTAGCTATGCGGGAATCCGATACAACTAGGGATTTTACAAAAATAATGCATTCTTTTGTCATTCATAAATTTTATCTCTTCTTTTTGCCTTTAAATGATAAGGTATATAATAGAAGGATAATTATGTTGTAATAGCTTCCAGAGGTTTTGTATTTTGATACTCGCTCCAAATGTCGAGCAAGATATCAATTTTCCACGCTGCAAGAAGAAAAATACAAAACCCCATAAAGCTACATCATAATATTTTGTATTAATAATTACAAAGCTAAACACACTTTAAATTTTGTTTCGTTCAATAAAATTCTTTTACTGTTCACTGACTTTGAGTAGTACTATCAAATTCCTTGAGAAAGCTGTTTAAAATATTTCTTTATCATGTTAACATACACATGACCTTTATGGCAAATAAAGGCTCCAATACTTTAATCGGTTATTTTCTCTGCTAGCCCCTATCTATAAATGATATATCAATTTCTTCTAAAATTTAGAATATCAAGAATAATCAATCAATGCATCATTTAAATATGAACTCGAAGTAATTTTTTCATGTCTAAATGGGTTGTTGAAATGTTAAATGTTAAGGACTGATAAAGAAAGTAGAGAATGTTTTAGTGCATAACTTGTTTTTTTCAATCAGAAGGTAAATGAAACTTATTTGAGTGATAAAGCTGTTGATTACTTACTGACATCAGTGTATAACCTTGGTTTGTTTTCTGAGGTATAAGAGTTCCCATATGGATCCCCATTAACTGTAACATAACATTCAAATGCCAGATTGTTATCCCTATTGGCATCAGCTGCTGTTACGTTGTATCTGATTGAAGCTCTCGTGTATATCCACACTGATTGTCACTGATTGCAGTGCCCTCTTCAAATGTACCTTGTGGTGGTTGATAGCTAATAAAGTCATCGCTTGTCAAAGTTTCAGATGTTCTATGCCATCGAGTAAATGTTTCTGGTAAGCTGCATATATTCGCAGTACATGAAAGTTCCAACTCATCTCCTAACTGAGCAGTGGCCATGTCATATGGTGACATACCTTGTACTATATAACCATTCTTCCTTGTTATTAATGACGTCACTTGGGGTTGTACTGGAATTTTTCAAAAGGTTATTCGTGTTAAGGCTTACATCAATTTGTATAACATAATAGATACGTTATTGTGATCATGTTGAGGTTTATGGCGTCTTAAACTAGAAATAGTATCGATTCGAATTTTATTGTAGTTACTCAAAATACAAAAAGTATGTCGATCACAAATTTCAAGTAACTGGTTGCCATGGAAAGTCAAAATTTGCTATGGAAATCACTGATTGATATCGATTGGTTTCAATGTAAGTCTGTGGTTGCCATTGGCAAGTCAATGATTGCTAAGAAAGTCACTTTTTCACGTCGCTATAAAATGTCAATAGATGCTGTAGAAGTCAGTTACTACTATTGAGAGTAAATGGATGCTATGGAAAACACTCGCTAATAAAATTCAATAAAATAAGTTGCTAAGGCAGTAAATTGTTTATTTAGTTAAAAAGAACCATAATTCCTTCATAGTCTGCATGCTAGAATTATGGGTATTGGATTGTTACCGCCAATTATGATCCATAAGACTTGTTTTAATTTCCATGTGAGAACCTACATTATTGATAAAAAATTGATGTTGCATGCGAAACTTTTCACTTAACCTCCCTTAAATTTTGTCAAAATCCATGCTAGAATTATGGGTTTTGGATAATGACCTCCAATTATGATGCCAAATACCTGTATTATGTTGTAGGTTAAAAAAAGACCCTTGTTCTGTTAAAATTCATGCTAGAGTAAATGCCTTGGATAATAACATACTATACTTTAATCAAAGTGTTGTGGACAACAATGTCCAGGTGAATAGGAATAAATGATACCCCTCTTATTCTTTGTATAATCCAACTGAATACTATTGTTTCAAGATTATACTAAATACTGAATATAATTTGCTGATTTTGACTCTAGGCCCTGTATTTGCAAAGAAACGATCAGGATAAAATAATTCCTTGTTTAATGAAACTTATATTGATCATATTTTACTGAAATGACATGGTACATAAATAAGATGTGAAACATTGCTGTTATTTGGAAAAAAAAACAAATTGACTTAATTGTTGTTTGTTTTTTTTTTGGATAAATTTACAAAATAATAAAAATTGATAAATAATGATATTCCTTACCAAAAATAAAGATAAAATGTTCAATTATAGATATCAGAATCGGGGACAATGCTCAATAGAAATATTGTGACAAAAGTTTCATTGGGATAAACGCTTGTTCCCACTAAAAATCAACTTGCAGATTCACCACTCAATTTTCAATGCAGGTATAGACATTTGTTGAGTGTACTTCAAGTTTTACGCATACTTCAAGAACATTTGTTAACAAACATTGCTGGTTTTCATTTTAGCACACCTGATATGCCTTAGAAAAATGACATAGCCTGACGATATGGTAAATGTTTCATTATTAAAGAAATTGATGATAATAATTGATGGCTGAGTTGTCAGATAAAATGTCAAAGAGAAAAAACAACTGTTTTTGTTGTAAGCTTGATTTAGATATTTAGATTATCTGTGAAAGACAGTTAATAATGACTGTTGTACTTAAGAGTGAAGGGTTGATGCAACCACAATCAGGGTCAGCTAACCCACATGATTCATCTAGATCTTATTCAAACTATGTCCATATGTGTTATATTTATATTCTTTCCTATTTTCATCAATGTATCATTTGCAATAATTATAATGTTCATTACACATTTAAACACAAGGCGATTACAAGTTTATTGATGAATGTAATACAAATACAAATACAAATACTTTATTCGCTTTAAGGCCTCCGGCCCATGCAAAAACATATATACAGAGAAACAATTTACATAAAATTTATAGCATGTGCACAATGTTTAAACATATACTATATAAATTTAACTGAAAATAACTTTTAAGCATAAAAAAAAAAATTCTGGAAGTTTCTTAATTATCATTTTGTATCTAAGTCATATTAATTGTTAATCTTTCTTTTTTCAAAAGCGTAATACAAAAATGTTGCTGTACCCTTTATAAGATCATTATTTTTTGTAGACATTAATATATTAAATTTGTTTCGGGTTGGAGCATTTAGGTACTTAATCGGTAAATATAATTTTCTAAGTTCTGAATAAAAATCACAACATAGTAAAAAATGAAATTCATCTTCTATTACATTCTTAGAACATTTTGTGCATAATCTGTTTTCCCTCAATATCTTTTTATGTCTACCAACCTCAATTTCAAGATCATGTGACCCTATTCTAAAATTTGAGTATATATATCTAAATTTTCTAATGTCTAGAACATCTAAATAACATTCATATGAGAAATTTTCCTTAAACATACCATAAAAAGACAATTTTACATTAGAGGTTACAGATGAATGCCACTCTTGTAGGTATATATCTTTTAACCTATTTTCAAATTGTGCTATAAAGTATTTATCTGATGTAACAGATTGACTTTCCCATACATATCCAAAACCATGACTTTGTAAAATTTTTCTTAAAGATGTAACCCAATTGTCATGTCCCTGTATATCATCATTAAACATCATTAAGTAACACTTTTTAACTAATCTATCGTTTGGCATTTTAATGATTTTTAACCAATAGTTAATACACCTCTTAATGGATATTAAATACATGGGATACCTCCCGCAGTCGCCTAATACAGCTACATTGGATGCATTTTGTTTACAACACATAAAGCGTTTGCATGCATAATATTGTACTCGTTCTAGCTCTTCAAATTTACCCATGCCCCAAATTTCAGCCCCATAAAGTAACTGAGGACATATTTTAGTATCAAATAGTTTAAAAAATACTTTCTTATTTAATTGGCCACAATCATACAAGGATTTTAAGATTGATATAAAAACCCTCTTACCCTTTATGCATAACTCGTGTACCATTCTTTTCATAGAAAGTTGTCTTGTAAATGTTAAACCAACGTAACTAAAAGCATTAACAACTTCAATCTGCTTGTTTTTATAAGTCCATTTTTCAATTTTACATAATGTACCACCATTTTTAAAAACAACTATTTTTGTTTTACTTTCATTTACTTTAAGTTTATATGTATTGCAAAAAAATGACAAAGTATCTAACTGTTTTTGTAAACCAGAAATTGTATCTGAAAGGAGAGCAATATCATCTGCAAACATTAAAGATAAAAGTTGTGTCTCAGACAGATGTAATTGAATTCCTCTTATGCCACTATCATCTAAAATATGTTGTAATTCATCTATATAGAAAGAGAAAAGAATCGGGCTGGCCAAACAACCTTGTTTTAATCCTACTGAACTTAATATGTAATCACTTCTTTCATTATTACATCTAATACATGCTTTAACGGTTCTATACATACTTTGAAAAGCTATATACAATTTTCCACTGACACCCCCATTTCTAAGTACATTCCAAAGAATTTGTCTATTTATGGTATCAAAACATTTATGAAAATCAATGAATGCAACAAATATCTTTTGTTTTTTATTTTTAACTAGTCTATCGGTTAAAGATTTTAAAATAAATGCATTATCCACAGTTGAGTATCCTGCTTTTTAAACCACTCTGGTTTTCAGAAATTTTACTATATATTTTGTGTAAAAAAAATTCAAACGAGCCACTAAAATCCCACAATATATTTTACCTAAAACATTTTGTAAACTTATACCCCTATAATTGTCCACATTGTTTATATCCCCTTTTTTGTGAAGTGTTGTTATAATAGATTCACACCAGGATTCTGGATACTCGCCTGTAGCAAATAGTCGATTAAACAATTT